TTTCGGAGAGCCATTCTTGAATGTCCCAGAATTTTTTGCGTAGACTGTATAAACGTCAAGATTTGATATGTGAGTACTTTTTTTGAGTTTCAGAATGCATTTCTTTTTTCAATAAGATACAATGGCATTTTTTGAAACAGACGCAAAAGAAAAACAGTGTGTGTATTCAACTGCTGATTTTCTATAGATGGTTTCTTCTCAAGACAATCGTATTCATTGAAGTTACCTTAAGATTAATAACTTTGCTAGTAGCAGAACTCACTATGAATAGATTCCATCTATACTAATCATATCTCCACATAAACAACTGAATAAAATGAGTTTGATAAAAAAAATTAATTTTCTTTTTTTACATTTATTTAGTTATTGAGAAGGTAAAATGTTGCCAGTGAGAAGTGTTAGCCTAGAGAAAAAAAGAACGATATGGGATATCGTACCAAGGTGTTAGGCTACATTGACTGTATTGTTCTAAGAACACTTCTTACCAACGATGGTCTCCCTTTTTTTCACAGGATGATATCTGTTTCTTTCTTATTCTACACATGTGAAATAAGTGAAGCAAACTCATTTACCAACGATATATTGGACAAAAATCAAGTGAAGCTAAGGTTTGTAGGTGGGATTGCCAAAAAATATGACTTTTTTAAGGGACATAATAGAAGACCCCCCTTTTAACTTATGAACGATAAGACAGAATAGAAGACCCCGGGTCTTCTAATGTGTCGATGGCTTTAGATCAAACATCGTTCCGAAATATCATCAAATTCAACTTTGATAACGTGAGATCGAGCTCCAGATCTCAATAATATTTCTTTTTCACTTTCAAAATATGTATTTGTATTCAAATACGTAAATTGATCATTAGATGTATAACGTCGCAATTCAATAATATACAAAACATTTCTTCCAAATGTTTCAGCAACATCACGGTTCAATGAAGTCGAAACGAATGGAAACCATTTAAAAAATATATCTTTTCGTCCAATTGTCTGTTGATATTCTTATATCTTTTCAAGTGGAGCATAATCACCACGGCAGATAATCATAGATTGAGATTCAGTTGGATGAACTATTTGTGAAAGACGACGACGAATTGGAAAATTATCTTTTATATGTCGACCAATATAGTTATAAACTAGATAACAGTATGGACCCAATGTTTCAAGTTTAGTTCGATCATCGTCTCGTAATGCTGTATTGACAACACGAAAGAGAAAACATTGTTTCGTATACAATTTGGCACAACAATCTTGTGATTTTTTCATTCTTTTTCGATCATTCTTCTTAAAATTTTCATCTTTGACCAAATTCAAAGTACATATTATTTCTTTAATTATATTTTCTGGTTCATTGCATCCTTCATATTTCAAACATTGTGAACCATGATAAGCTGTATTCACAGTTGTACTATTTTGTCCATTCATATTTAAAGAAAACGATAATCTTTCACGACGAGTACTTTCAACTTCGGTTCCTTCATCATTCGTTAAAAATGCTTTAAGTTTATATCATCGAATAGGTTGTTGTCATTTTGTTTCTTCAATATTTTCTTGGAACAAATTCTATAAAATCAATACGATATAGTTCGTCGATAAATGTGTGATCAACACCACTTTTAAACGCTTTTTCCAAAGTTGATGATGTTTCAGTGGGGCTAAGGAGTCCACACGATAGATTGACTACTATTACACGGAGCTACATTTGTGTGCTATACCCAGATGAATTCAGATTCAGTTGATGCTAATGAAATTGGACATACAGAAATTAATTTTACTGGTGATCTCATGTTGTCAGTGCTAGGATCAAAACAACATATATATGGTTCTGGGTGTGGGTATTAATAATTATTTACATGCATTTGTCTAATACTCAAGTTTTATTTGAGTAAGAATTTTTTGTTTTTCGTTTCAATAGAGCGAAGTGAAACATAACTCAGTTTTTTGCATAATTATCAACCAAGGAGAAAAAAAAAACATTCTCATAAAACACATCTACCGAATCTGATAGAACACTATTGAAAAAAACACATTGACATTCTTGTCATGTGTACGAATAATGTAGGCTACATGCAAAAAAAAATTCAGGAAACAGTATAATTCGATGACGGATCAATTTTGTAAAGTGGTTCTTTATACGTATTATCGCTCCTTCCTATAGTGTCGATATTTTCCATCGAAGAATAGGAACATGAGTATACACAGAAGCTAACGAATCACTTCCTCAGAATTAGATTTGAGAATCCACTGAACGGTTGTCAAATATTTAATTATAAATTCTAAATTGTCATTTATATACTAGAAATATTTGTTTTTATTAAAATAAGTATTGATAAATAATAAAAAAATGATAGATCTGCCATTGAGAATGATATCCTTGATAGTTTTTAATGAGATTATTTGTGTAAATATCAAACTTGCTTTATAATACATATTGAACGTCTGGATGCTAAACATTAAATTCAAAACTTTTTTTCTCATTAAACATTTAATCAACTTACCCAATCGTAAGGTCCTTTAATGGCTACTGTTCGATCATAATCATCGCGCGATAAATGAGTCCAACGATAATTTTCTCTCGTTAAACAAAAACGTAGAATAAAAGTAGTCATCAAAGCAATTATTACTGCTCCACTACAGATCAAGTGTCTTCGTCGATATGTGAGTTTGTCGATTTTACGATAAACCTAGAACATGCATTTGATTAGTTTTCTTTGATTCATAATCTTAATAAATTACTTTAATTAAATATATAACGGTTACATGAAATGCTACAACGCCTCCGAACTGACCAATAGCCATGAAATAATAAATAGACATAGCTCTTTTTGTATGTCCACCAATATTTTTCGTTAACCAAGCTAATAGAAGATGAAATGCTGTGTATATGCCAAAACAATGATGTACATTGCCACTTTGTCTCGATCTGCCAAACTTAGCATTAAAATAAATCCGAGTAGACCAATGAATAGAAAAAGGGCAATATGAAATCCATGCTCATCTCGACGTGATGATGCATAGCAACCTAGAAAACAACATAGACAAGCAAGAACATAGAGAGGTGCCATTAGTAAATGCGTTAGCAGTTTGGATCCACTTGTATCATCAACCAAGGCCGGAAGAAACAGTGTTAGACATTTAATAGCACCTAAATTTTCAATAGCTATGACAATATAGGGTATGGATGTGGGTGTGGGTGTGAGTAAATAATAAACAATCACACCCACACCCCACACCCACACCCACCCACACCCACCCACACCCACACCCACACCCACTAGTACTACGGCAACAACAACTACAAGTAAGTATATCTCTCAAGTACTTGACTTTATAATGCAAAATTACAATTTAAAAACATAATTTATAGCAACAGCTCCATGTCTTACTGGATATACTCGAACACCGTCTGGTTCATGTGTCAATCTTCTCATTGACTTCAATAACTGTGGTTCAATTGGTCATGTATGTGCTTCAACATATACAAGTTGTTCAAATGGTGCTTGTAGTGGTGCACCAGCTGTGCAACTTACAGGTGCTGTCGCTATCGCTGGTTGGAGTGGTACAGTTAGCGTTGATGATGCATATATGACTCTCAGTCTACCCTTCAGCATATCGCTGTATGGTTATACTACATCGAGTGCATCTGTTCAAAGTAATGGAGTAAGTAACCTTATGATAGATCTTTTCAAAATATTTACATGTATAGGTATACAATA